AGTGGGAACTTCCGATGTTTCAGCAGCTGTTTTAGTTCAGAGCTCAGAGATGTTGAGATTTGCCCGAGAATGGTGATTCCAAAAATTTCCCTTTTGAAATCAAGTCGTGCTCAAATAGGCATTGGAATGCCATATGAAATGGTGAAAAATGAAATGTTAGGCACAGCAGCATCTACAATAAATTTCATTAGGAACTACATTAGGGCACTCACTTATTTCTCAGGAACACCTTGGCATTATGGAGAGCAACAAGAGCAAGCTCTGATTCCGTGTAATTTTACCAATTCCCATGACATGCATTCCTTTCTTCAAAACCTCATTTTCTAAGAGACATTTCCTACCTGATATCTCCCAGTGAGTGCAGAACAGTGGCATTGCCCCAGCTCAGCCTGTCCTGGAGGTATCCCAGGTCTATATTGCAGGCCTTTGTTTATATCTAAGGAAAGGGAAACTAAATTCCCTTTGGCAGCATCCTCCTGCTCTGATATGTGGAGTTATAGTTCCCTCAGCACCAAACCAGTGGATTTGCTCACTTGGCCGAGATATTTGGGGCTGGCTGGCCTGGGCTGCCACAGGGATGGCCTTTCTCCAGCAGCAGAAACTCCCATCTGCCTGTTGCTGAGGTGCCTTAGGCTCTGGCCGTGCTCTCCATCTCCCCACTGCTGCACTTACAGAGCTTTTCCTGAACCTTTTTGGTTTTTCCCATTAACGAGCAAAGCAACGAGGAAGCTGCATTCTCCATGTCATGGCCAAAAGCACAGTTTAGGGATCCAGAAAGGCTCCAGCCCAGTGAAGGTGGAGAAGGAACGAGGTGTACTGGGAGATGATCGCTGGGACAAGATGCAGCAGATCCCAGGAGCTCACAGCCCACATGGAACTGCAGGAATCTCCTCCTAACCCTCAGGGAGCTGCACAAGGAGAACAGACATGGAAAGCTCTGGAACTGTTCCGAGCTCTGTCTGAGCTCAGCCTGGCAGCAGAGCAGAGGGCAGAGACACGACATGGGGCAGAGCACCCCGCGGAGCCTGCGAGCCCTTCGGGAAGCCGGGCAGGCTCTTGTGGGAAGCACGGGAGCAGCGCACATCCAGCACTGAGGCGAGCCGCGGAAGGGGGTTTAGCGCAGCCCGCACGCTGCCAAGTAAATAGATGCGTCTGCCTCTGATTTGCACGTTTATCTTAGAAGCAATTTAGGTTTCTCCCTGTTTACAAGAGCCGAAGTCAGCAGACTCTCCGCAAGAACAACAACGGGGAGCCAGCACGTGACGCTCGTCTCCTGTTCCCTCGAGCATCGGGCGCTCGGCGGGATGTTGGGAAGAGCTCGCTGCAGCTGGATGTGCATCCGTGCGACTTGCAGGGAGGAGGAAGGCTGGCAGGGAGAGGGAGAGGAGGGCTTGACCCCGCAGGCTCCGAAGGCACCTGCCCTGGGAACACAAAATCTCCATCCTCCCTTGTTGCTGCCTCGCGGGAAGGGAGGAAGGCAGGGCGGGAGATCCCAGTGCTGCGTGTGCAGCACAGCGTGTCCCGCAGCACGGGCGGCTCACACCCGGCTCCTGGCAGCGCAATCCTGGGAGAAAGTGGGAAATACACCCAGCCTGGGATTGCTCGCCGATCGGCGAGAGGGAATGCTGCAGCATCAGCCAGGCAGAGGCGGTCAGAGGGGCTGTGCCAGCCCCTCACCCGAGCTGGGCAAGCAACTCTGCACTTGGCAAGGGCAATGCCAAGGTTTTATGGACCTGCATGAGGAGCTCCCAAGAGGCAGCAGCCCGAGGAACCCTGCTGAACAGGGTGGAGGATCATTATCCCCACATGTACTTAATTATCCACTCCCTCCCTCCCTCCCAGCTCCTCCTCACTGCAGCCTGCCCGGGTCTGCCTCTCTCCTCCCAGCCATGAGCTCCAGGCCTGAGCAGCCACCAGCATCAGGAGCAGCTCCTCACAGTCTTTTCTGAACTCATGCCTTGGGTTTTGGTGTTTTTTTTTTTTTTTTCAGCTGGAAAAATAGAGATTCCCCCAGAGTACAGCACTGCATAGAAATGTGCCACTTCCAGCACAGCTTCATTCTTTTAAAAACGAGGTTCTGATAAGGCAGCTGGGGACTTCTCAGAACATCCATTGTCTTTCCTGTTGCAGTGTTTTTAAAATGTCACAGGCTTTGAGAAATAAAATCGGAAGGGATGCTTTCATCCATCCAAAACAAATGTTTGGGTTTTTTCCCCTCCCAGAACTCTGCTTGGCAGAATTTTCTGATGTTCCCTGTCTCTCTGCATTTTAGAGTAACTGAGCCCAACTGGAGCTTTTCTCAGCAAGCCTTGCCGAGATAACCACAGCCTTCCCGGGACATGGGAGGAATTTTCCCCTTTCTGATGGAATCCTATAGGTACTGCTGTAAATACACTGCTTGTTCTCAGCCACAGGCAAAGGGAGATTCAGCCACCAACCCTGGTGGGTCTGGGACCCACACAGCGGTCGGTGCCCTTCGCCTTGCTCTCCTTCCACTTTCTCCTGCTGATAATGTTTGCTCTGATCTGGGTGTTTGGCAGGAGAATTAAGGAGAAGTAATTAGCTCCCAGTGTGAAAAAGGGAGTGCCTGGTGTTTATCTTGTCTGGAGGGTTTCCCTTGATCTCGGTCTCCCAGGGGATGGTGTTAGTCGGTGCTTTATCCGTCACTCTCCCATCCGGGAGGCAGCTCCTCTACCAGCCCAGAGACCAGTGCCCCAGCTCAGGAGCACAGGGTCCCTGCAAGGTCCCTGGTGAGGTGGCCCATCACAGAACATTTTACCTTCTACAGCTTCCCCAGCAAAGGGGAGCTTTGGCTCTGCTGAACTTCCATCCTGCAACCCGCTGACTCCCAGCACCTCATCCCTGCCCTTGGCAGCACAGGCAGGGACATGCCAGCCATCCCCATCCTTGCTGGGCAGAAGGAATTTCGGGCCAGGTGCCTGGCCACACTTCCCCACAAGACCTCTGCTGCCCTGCTCAAGACCACCGTGCCCTTATCCAGCTGGTGGGATGCTCATCCTCCCTGTCCCACTCACCAGCTGCTCTCACAGCCTGGCACGAGCAAGGCAACAAAATACCCTCAGTTCACATTGCTTGATGAGCTCCTGTTGGATTTTCTTTCCTAAAAGTCTTCTGCCATGTCCCTGTCCCTCTGCTGCAGGATGAAAGGCTGATGAGCATGCCTGGGACAATAGTGCTCGCTGCCCCTCTGAGTCTGGGCTCACAAAGCCGTGGGGAGCCGGGTTTATTATCCTCAGCTCCAGCCCGAGATGACCTTGTGCTTCTGCCAGCATTTAAACAAAATATTTTAAAAAGGGGAACAGATCCCATTGCTTTCTGTGCTCGCAGGGCTTTCCTGAGCTTGGGAGCTCTCTCTGGGGCAGACAGAAGCGATAGAACGTGGCCAGAGAGAGACAATGAAATATTGTCCGAGCTTATTGCTTTTTAGTATTGTTATTAAAGGAAGGTTTTCACTTCCAGTCCGGGGGCTAGAAAAAATCTGAATCCCACCCAAACCTCATCCCTTCCAGCCAGAATCCCAGCTCCGTGCTCTGCAGCAAACATCATCCTCCAGCTCAAGCAGCCAGAGGGGCGAGAGGGTGGCGCAGGCGGGAGCTGACCGGGATGGAAAATTCCACGTTGCTGCCATTGTCCGGGCTGGTGTGAGAGTGTGGGGCAGAGCTCAGGGGCCCTCCCCCGTGGCCACGGAAAACTGCCCCCGGGGCTCAGCCGGGCTCTGCCAGACTGTTGTTTGTGCATTGTCTTCCTGCTCCGAGCTCCCGCTCTCTCCTGCTGCTGCAGGGGGGGGACAGGGATGCAGGTGGGACACAGCCAGGATGGGGGACACGGTTCAGCCAGGATGGGGGACACGGTTCTCCCAGTTGTGCAACTTCAGGGCGTGATCACAAGTGTTCACCAGTGCAGGAGGTGCACAGAGAGGAATCGACAGCTGGGGGATAACAGTGTGAGTGAGGACTGTAGCAACAACAGGTGAAGCCTGGTCCTCTTCCTTCTCTACCTAAGCATGGCACAGGTGCCTGTGCCATGGACACTGTTCCCATGGAGTGCAAGCAGGAGACAGGGCAGAGCCTGCACCAGCCATCCTGCTGTGCTCAGCAGGGCCAGGCAGGGCTGGGATGTAGGGAAGAGGGTGGGAGGGAGGTTTTGCACATCAGCAAGTTCCTCTGCTGCCACCCCAGGAGCTGACAGAGCCCAGGCTCATGGGGCTCGTCCCAGGACTCGCAGCACCCAGAGCTAGCTGTCTCCTGGGGCAGATGTTCTCCACAGACCCCCTGCTCCTTGCCTGCACAGAGCAGAGCTTTGTCCACCCCATTATACTGAACACAAGGACCGAAGGCCAGTGGCTGTGATGGCTCAGCAGTGCCCTGTCCCTGTGTCCTGCCTGTCTGAACCACAGCCCTGGGAGGTCTCACATGTGCTTCACAGCTTGCCCACACCAAGAGGATGCTGCAAGAGGGGCACACTGCTGTGGGGGGACACCCTGGGCAGAGCCCAGAGCAGCTGTGACAGGTAGAAAGGAAAGAGGGGAAGGTGGGCTTCAATATAAGACCCCCGAGCAGGGTGAGGACCTGGCATCACTCTGTTTGTTTAGCCTGGAGGAGATGGAGGTCAGACCTCATCAGGGTCTGCAGCTTCCTCAAGAGGATCAGCTCTGATCTCTGCTCTGTGTGAGCAGTGACAGCACCTGAGGGAATGGCTGGAGCTGTGTCAGGGCAGTTTGGGCTGGATATCAGGAGAAGGTTCTTCTCCCAGAGCGTGGTTGGGCACTGAACAGGCTCCCCAGGGCAGTGGGCACGGCCCCAAGGCTGCCAGAGCTCCAGGAGTGTTTGGACAACACTCTGAGGGACTGGGTGGGATTTTGGGGTTGTCCTGTGCAGGGCTAGGAGTTGGACTGGATGATCCTTGTGGGTCCCTTCCAGCTCAGGACAGTAAGATTCCCTGCAGGCAGGGCAGTGACGTGGCACCGTCTCTCCCACAGGTACATCGGGGCGCTGGGCGCGAGGGTGATCTGCGACAACATCCCCGGGCTGGTGAACAAGCAGCGGCAGCTGTGCCAGAGGTACCCCGACATCATGCAGTCGGTCGGGGAGGGAGCCAAGGAGTGGATCCGGGAGTGCCAGCACCAATTCCGGCACCACCGCTGGAACTGCAGCACCCTGGACCGGGACCACACCGTCTTCGGCCGGGTCATGCTGCGAAGTAGGTTCTGCCTCATCCCCTCCCCACCCTCGCCTTTCTGGGAGTCTCTCCTCTTGCTGGGCTGCCGTGCCCGGTGGCTTGGATTACTCCCTTAGGAGAGCTTTGCTTTTCCCTGTAAATTAATCAAGCAGTAATGGGAGAAGAGCGCTGCGTTTGGAATAGCTGCACCAGATGAGATGGAGCAGGGGGAGCACTGGGGGAGAAGGGGGAAGGAGGAGACACCTCCGGAGAACAGGCTCATATGTAAACAGTAATGGGATATATAAATATTTGGAGAGCAGGGTTGGCCAGGACTCAGCAATTCACGTGGGAACTGGCTGTTCCCTCGCATGGCAAGGGAGGCAAGGCAGAGCCACGGCTCCAGTCCTCACTTCAGGCGCCAAGGTGGAGGAGGACCATGGATATGGGGCAGGTGCCAGCCTCGAGCAAAGGGCTGGGCACAGCCCCTGCCCAGGAGGGACCGTCCTGCTCCACGTGAGGGACAGACACAACACAAGCAGGGATGTACCCAAGGACAGGTGTGATGGGGACAGGGATGGGGCAGTTCCAGAGCAGGAGCAGCATCAGGGGCTCCAGCTGCCCCTGGGAGGGCTCCGGCAGGGAACGGGCCGCGGGAGCACCGGCACAGGCAGCGGCACTGCGGGACAGATGCTGCTGCATCCCGTGCCGTGCCGGAGCATCCAGCCATGCAGCCTCCAAATCAAAGGCGGCTGGAAGAGCCTTCCCACTCCCAGCTCATATGGAGGACATGTGAGTGTTGTGGAGGGAGTGGAGGGCTTGCTCCCAGCTGGCGGGGGGATGGGGCAGCTGCCCATGGGGCGGGCAAGCAGCAGAGCCACAAGCCAGACTCCTGACAAGGACCTGGCTGGGAAGAAGGGGACTGGAATGCCAGGGTGTAGCACTCACCCTGCCATGCTGCAGCCTGCCCGCTCTCAGCCTCTCCATCCCCACCAGGGCACCTTTCCTCCTGCTCGCATCCTCTCCTGGCAAAGGATGGGGAATGATGAAAGCTCCTCGCCACAGCCCCATCCTGCGAGGCCCAAAGAGAGCTCTGCTGCCTTTGAAGTTGCTTTCAAAGGCTCCTCGAAATGAAGACGAGCATGGTTTTGATTTGCAGCTTCTTTTACAGCGTTATAAAAACAGCTGCGAACTTGAAGCAGAGACATAAAATAGCAGGCGCAAGCTGTGCCACGCGGGGAGAGCCGGGGCTGGCGCCGGCTCCGTGCTCTCCATCGCCCCGGGAGGGAGGGAGGTGGCCTTGCCTGAAGGGTGCTGGCTGGTCCTGCAGGCTCAGCACATGTGGGCATGGCTCCTGATAATTCCCCTTGGTCAGAAGGGCACCGGGGAAGCCAGCGGTGGGTTTGGCTTACCCGTGCACAGGATGGGCTGCAGCCGCCTGGCACGGCCTGGCACGCTCACTGCCCGTCCCTGCTCCTCTCCCCGCTCCAGGCAGCAGGGAGGCCGCCTTTGTCTACGCCATCTCCTCGGCAGGGGTGGTCTATGCCATCACCCGGGCCTGCAGCCAGGGGGACCTCAAGGTGTGCAGCTGTGACCCGCTCAAGAGGGGCCGCTCCAAGGACGAGCGCGGGGAGTTCGACTGGGGCGGCTGCAGTGACAACATCAACTACGGGATCCGCTTCGCCAAAGCCTTCGTGGATGCCAAGGAGAAGAAGGTGAAGGATGCCCGGGCGCTGATGAACCTGCACAACAACCGCTGTGGGAGGATGGTGAGTGAACCCCCCGTGCCAGGCCAGCCATCCCACCTGGACCTTCCGAAGGGAACAGCTTGGGCATAGAAGCAGGACTGTGGTATTTGTGGAGGGCAGGTCCTACTGGGGATGAGGGCTGGATGCTGCCCTGCCTTCCCAGTGCTCCCCTGCCTGCTCTGCCCTGGGAATGGCCCCATGGAGGTGGCAAGGGCTCTGCTTACCTTTTCCCCCAGCATTGTGTCCCTGCTGCTGCTGCACCAGTGACCTCCATACACAGCCCCCCTCTCCCGTTAGGAGCCCATCCCGCACAGCCAAGAGCTGATAAACTGCACCAGGGATGAGCAGGCACTGGTGCAATGTCTGGCACCCAGGGTGACCACCAGTCCTCACACATCCCTCTTCCCACAGGCTGTGAAGCGTTTCCTGAAGCTGGAGTGCAAATGCCACGGGGTCAGCGGCTCCTGCACACTAAGGACTTGTTGGCTGGCAATGTCAGATTTTCGAAAAACAGGGGATTACCTAAGGAAGAAATACAACGGGGCCATCCAGGTGACGATGAACCAGGACGGCACCGGCTTCACAGTGGCCAACAAGAACTTCAGGAAGCCCACGAAAACAGATCTGGTGTATTTTGAGAACTCACCTGATTACTGCGTGATGGACAAGTCAGCAGGTAAAACCCAGAGCTCCAGTCATTGCCCAAAAGCAGCTCTTCCTCCCTTGCAGACAGGCCAGCAGCTCCCAGCCAGCCCAGCTTTGGGATCTCAGCTCCCCCAGTGAACCCCAGCCCTCAGAGAACGGGGCATCTGCAGCACCTCACACTTGCACAGGCAGAACTGTGTTTTATCCAAAATCCCCAGGCTTTACACCAAAGCCCCAAGTCCCTCAGGCCTCTCGTAATGACGGTAGCTCAGCGTTTCCTCGGAGCCTGCCCCCCGCGGAGCAGAGCTCCCTTGAAGAGGCAATAAAGAGCCTGTTCCGTGCACAGGCTGCCGGCTGCTCCTCAGAACACAGCCCGGGGCTGGGATGAGAGCGGGGAAGGGGCGTCGGGGCTGCTGGGCTCCTGCAGAGATGATCAATGGTTTCCCAGCCTGGAGCATCCCCGGGTCAGGGGTTGGCAGCAGCCAAGGGGGGCTCGGTGGGGAAGGCAGCACGTGCTCCCACCACCCTCAGCCTGAGCAAAGAGGGCATTCCCAGCTTTGCCAGCTGCAAAGCCTGGCTCAGCAGGCACGCATTGCTCTAGGGGTCCCCCGGGCACAGAGGGGCTGTGCAGACCCCCTCCCTGTCCCCCACTGCCCTTACACTCTGGCAGCAGCGGGCACAGGCTCCAGCAGTGGGCATGGGGAGAGGGCTATGCAGAGGATCATAGAATCACAGAATGGTTGAGGTTGGAAGGGACCTTAAAGATCATCTCTTTCCAACTTCCTGCTACGGCAGGGACACCGACACTGCATCCCTGGCTGGGATTGCTGCACCCCATGTCCTTAGA